AGACTGTTGTTCGTTTCTGTAAGACTGTTCTTAATGCCATCACTCCATTTTTTCCGAGGTCTTCCACTCGCTCTGTACCCGTTCTAACGTTTTAGTGTGGCTCGCTGTGGAAGATAGTACCAGGGCATTCTTGTTAGGTGTCCAAACCACTTCATTTGTTGTTCCTTTATGACTTGTAAGACTGGCTTTATTCCTAGCATTTGTCTGATTTCGTGATTTCGTATTCTGTCTTTTCTTGAAACTCCTGCAGCTCTTCTAAGGCATTTCATCTCTGTTGTCGCAATTTTACGTTCATTTGAAGATGTAAGTGTCCACCTTTGGCATTGATAGCATAGCCTTGGCTAAAAAATAGTTCTGATAAGATTCACTGTAGTACTCAGGGGCATCTGCTTGTGTGTCGTCAGAGGAGATAGTTGCCCCATTTCTTAATTAGCTTTGGCACATTTGGAGCTCATTTCTCTGTCCAGTTTTCCGTCTGATGTGAAAACTACTAATACTTAAATTCATCTGTTTGTCTTAGGTGTTGTTTTTAATTTATTTTTCCTAATTGTCTTTCTGTCTTCCTATCACCATTTTCTCTGTCTTCGTAGTGTTTATTTTCATATTATATTCTTCCCCTTTATTACTAATTTGATTTAGGTGGTTCTGGAGTCGCCGTGGCCGAGCGGCTAGACGCTTGCCGCGGATAGGAATGTTTTGGGTTCGCTCCCTGGCAGAGCCGGACATTTTTCAAAAATTACCTTGGCTCCCAGGTCGACCCAGCCTTGAGTGGGTACCGGGTGCAGTTCCGTGAAGTAAAGGCGGCCGGCGTGACGCTGACCACATCACCCATCTTGTGCCGATTGGTCTATAAAAATATAGGTCTAGCCCTATATGCCCTATACGCCTAAAGGCGTGGAAAAGGGTCCTTTACTTTACTTACTTACCTGGTCGTCAACGAATAGTAATTATGTATATCTTCTTCATGATTAAAGTTCGTTTCCTTACATATGGTATCCACGTATGTTATAATTCACTGAAGAAAGAAAACAGATTTGCAGTATGTGAACAAGCCTCGTGCGTATCGTCAGTTCAAATATTAGTGTCCTGAGTAGAAAGGAACTTTTCCACCTTAAACTGTTTGGTTTTAATGAGAAGTGCCTCTTATAACAGTTCTGCTGATCAACCATATCTACTACTTTAACCTGTATCTGGGCAAATACTGCTGGTTTGAAATCATATTCACTAAATGTGTGCCCAGTTTCATAGGAATAGGTTTTCAAAGAGTCCAGAATCAGGTGATCGCAGTTTCGACTTCATAGCAAACGGGTCAGCCTATAGTTGTTCCCTGAGCTCCGAGTTGCTCCTGTACGACCGAAAACCACACATAATTTCCTTCACTGTCCCACATACCTAACTCACAGTGTCGCGCCATGCACTTAACTCAGTAGTAGGGTGACGAATCTAGCTAGACTCATGAAGATTCGTGGCAACAAGGATGTTCTCTTCTTATGATTGGCGGACATTGCTCGTTTTATTCATTCTTTCTAGCATTCCAAAGAATGTTGAGACAGATTGTTTCTGTGGTGTCGCGGCTAGACGCTCGCCTGTCGATCCCTTGGTCATGGATTCAAATCCGAAAGGAGCCACAAACAATTAAAAAAAAAAAAAATTTCATTCAAATTTCCATTGGCCCCCTCAGTCGACCCAGTCTTATTGAGTGGTAGTTGAAGTCCTGTGTGGTAAATACCCTCGGTGAGATGTTCGCCACATAACAAACCGTGTGTGGATAGGTTTACACAATATAGGTCTAGCCCTATATGCCCATACGACTGAAGGCGTGGAAAAGGCCCTTTTCTGTTACTTTAACCTAATTTCACTGCCTTGAAAAGGTTTTATCGTCCACGTCGGGTGGCGTTGGGAGTAATGAGTAGCTGCAGCCTCCTGTCTCGTGCACTGTCAATCTTTTATGACATACATGTTTCCACGAATTGTCCAGCATTGTCTTTGTTGGTCTTCTTTAGCCTCTCTTTCCCGCCAGCTTTCCCTTTGACACGATATACTCCAGTTTTCCTCTCTTCCTCTTCCTCTGTGTGTGTGTGTGTGTAAAATAGATAGAGAGAGAGAGAGATAGAGAGAAAAGATAGAGAGAGAGATAGAGAGAGATATAGAGGAAGAGACACAGAGAGAGAGACAGAAAGAGAGATAGAGAGAGAGAGACAGAGAGAGACAGAGAGAGCGAGAGAGACACAGAGAGAGATAGAGAGAGAGACAGAGAGAGAGACAGAGAGAGAGACAGAGAGAGACAGAGAAAGAGAGACAGAGAGAGAGACAGAGACAGACAGACAGACACAGACACAGACTACATGATATAGATTGTCTATTTCCAATACACGCAGTCAGTTCTCTTAGTAAGTTAACTTCTGTCAAGACATCTTTTTACTCTTTTCATTTGTCTACGATTCAATGATTCTATAAAACGGCATCTCAGCGGCTGTTGTGTAGTCTTTCGCTCATCTACTGATTGTCCACGATTCACTTCCGTACATCAGAAACAGCAGTTCCTTGGCAACGGAACATCCTACCTCCAAACGAATATTTAAATCCTGAGTGATTCTGCCATTCATATATTTAGTTCTCCCTCTCGGTACTGTGATGTCGTTGCCCCCTCAGCAGATTCTACGCGATTCTTCGGCCAAGCACATACGATTTCAGCAAACTCCTGTTTATTCAACTTGTAGGACATGCTTGTTGGGACCGTGGGTCTATCTCCCCGTCTATAAGTGGGATCCTGGAACCCACACATGGAGCATCTTCGTGTTCACCGGTTGTAAACTGCGGTGGAAAGTGGTTGTTCGTCCACTTCTGGACTTAGGTCTTGTTCTAGGGATCGAATTTTGCTTGCAGATCCGTTTTATAGACCTGGCTTGTTTGTGTGCAGACTGTTGGTTCCTTGCCTCTCAGCAGATTACCTTGACTTCAAAGGAAACACCCTGCGCGGTCTAAGGGTGCAGACCAGCAGAGTTGGGTGTGTGTGCGTGTGCGCGCGCGTGCAATGAAAGTGACAGTTTACATTTGCCAGATGAAGACCACTGTAATACATCTCAGTCTATAGTAGCGTTACAATAATCATCTTAGAGAGTGACCGAAGCAACGGCACCAGACAGCCAGTTTTACACAAACAGTAAATACTCCACTTGACTTATTGCAGAATTTATAACAATGAACATGGTTTTAGGAACAGTAATCAGTAAACGGTAGAAAATAATTGGGGGGGGGGGGGGGGGGTTACAGTAGAAAGTTGGACATAACGATTACACTAAATGCTGGGCATTTAACAAAACCAACAGTAAAATATTGGTCATTAATATAATAAAATACCGTAAAATGGACAAAAATGGACACACACAAAAATCTTAAAATGTTGGAGAAATATATAGTAATAATGTTTGATAAAAAATTACACCGTAAAATGTTGGATAAAAAAATTACACAGTAGAATGTTGGATAACAAATTACACAGTAAAATATTGGATTAAAAAGGTCACAGTAAAATGTTGGACATACGCAGATATTTTACAATGCTGGGCATAGGAAATGACAAACTATTGTCTGAAGAGAAAATCGAGTAAAATCTTAAGCATAAAAATACAGTATAATGTTGAACATAGAAAATACTGGAACACATTGGATATCAGTAACGTAATATGTTGGAGATAGAAAATACAGAGACATATTTGAGCAAAAAACAACAACAACAAAAAACATATCGTAAATTTTTGACATAAAAAATACAAAAACATATTCGACAAAATGATACTGTAAATTTTTGGATTTAGAAAATACAAGAACATATTGTACCAAAACAACACAAAATGTTGGACATAGAAAATATCGGAGCATAATGGACCAAAACTCCATAAATTGTTGGACATCGAAAATACACCCCCCCCCAACCCCTTTTCCCCCTCCTTCCTCCCCCACCCACCACCCCATTCCCCCACTCATCACAATGGCGGACCAAATTAGCCCAAACATTCAGTAAAATGTTGAACACAGATAATACAGGAATATAACTGGGTACAAACAAGGTACAGAAAAATTCTGGACATGGCAAATACGGAAGATGTGCAAAAATACAGAATACAATTTTGAATAAAGAAAAACACAGTAAAATATTGGGCATAAAAGAGAGAAGAAGTGATTTGAGTTGAGTCAAGATTTGACATCACAGCACTCGCGGCAAAGCGAAGAAATGATCAACATGCTACGCTTTACCAGAACAAAATCACGGCGGAATGTAAATCATCCAGTACGCTACTGAGGCAGATCTGTCCAAGCAAACAAAAACAAACACAATAAACGATAGATCAGACAGCAGAGACAGCAGTCAGGGTCGTCTTGGGGCATGGGCTCGCTGGGCACTTACCTGTGGGCCCCATGAGATTGGGGCCCGATACCAATCTGTGTAAATGTTTGATAATATAGCCCGTTTACTTTTCACTATTGTGAGTGATTGTCGCAGGGGCCCCAGCACACTGGTTTGCATAGGACCCATAACTGGTTTGCATAGGGCTCAAACTCTAATGACACTAAAGCAACAACATAACATTAAATTCTTAAACAGTCAAAAAGATCAGTATAGCAATTCCGTGGGAGGGCTGCGTGGTCTCGAGGTATGGCGTTAGCCTCGAGTGCTGGAGGTCACGGGCTCAAGCCTCGGTGAAGGCTGGGATTTTTTTCACATGGACTTCTAGTAATTTCCCCTTTTCTCGAGGTAGTACGATCGGACGCTCGTGTGTATTGTTGCGAATTTAAAAAAAAATAGAAAGCCTTGGCGGTTGAAAATCGAAAAAGAGTCAACACTGGAAAAAAATTCGAAAAAAAAATATAGCCAAGGTATTTAAGGATCTCCGCCGATGTTACGAGTTCGTGCGCTGCGCTGAGATTCAGGCTTGAGTCAAAAATAGAACGGAGCACTTATGGGTTACTACCCTTGGGCCATGATATTGATCCATCGTCTAAACTAAACTAATGTAGTAATTCCTCGCAGAACAACACAGTAGAGGTCTCAGAAACTGTCTTTGGTTTCTAGAGCACGGTTCAGGCAAGACCTCCTTAGTCGTCTCACAGAAATGACAACGGTTCTCACGATGAGCTCCCAGAACTCCAGCAAAGTGACCAGGCTTGCTCCCAGGCATATGCCCATTTGACCTCCTAATGAGCCTGAAAAGGATCATACAATCATTTTTTCGGAAACATTAAAGTGATTCAAATTATCAATTATCATAGTGTTTTTTTTAGCACATCGATATGAATACAAACAATTCCCCTCATTTTCTAGGAAAATTCGAGGTTTAGGGGGAACCGATGATAAAGGGAACTGATGACCTAGCCTGTTATGTCGTAGCCAGATACGGAAAGACCTACACCGTCACACTACAAAGACAGTTTCTCCTAGGCGACTACCTTTATCGGTAGTTATGTCTATGTGTATGTAAGTTGTACCCCATCAATGCATCACACAAGCGACAAACACACGTAACTCAAAATGCTACCATACCTATGATGATGATCACCCGTGGAGAGGTCCCGGAAACCCCGTTCAGCCGTTATGCCATATTTCAGGACCGGTTATATTGAGGCCTCTGGCAAAAGCCAGGGTGGAGCTTCAAAATAACATCAAATTGCATCCTACAAGGGAATGACGAGGTTAACATGTCTATGTGATGAAAGATATAAAGCTCATTGTAATTACTAAGACACAGCAATTGATAAGATTAATTTACCCGTTTACGTCCCATATTTTGTAACCAATATAGCTTTAAATAGGCTCCGGGTAAAGGCCTAGGAAGTAAAGGTGGTCGGCGTGCTGCTAAACACATCAAGTGCTGTATGGTCTATACAATTAAAGTCTAGCCCAATACGCCCAAAGGCGTGGGAAAGGGTCCTTTGCTTTTACCGTCTTGGTTTAGTACAAAGGGAGACAATAAAAACATTCAAGATTGATTCAAGATGACAATAAAAATGTTTCAGTTTTTTAGTAAGTTATAGTTTAGCAACTTCAAACAGGTGTTATTTATTGAGATTGGAGCTGCGGTAGTGCAGTGGTTAGTTGTTTGGCTATCAGACTGATGGTCAATGGTTCGAATCTGTACAATGTCGAGTTTTTTGTTTTAAATAATTAACCTGCCAGCTTGCTGGCCCGTCCTAAGTTGGGCACTAGGAAATTAATGATACATTTTTATCTACTAACAGTCGTCCTTATGTGGGATGCAACTGTTTGTTTGAAGCCCTGTCCTGGCTTCTGCCGGGTGCCTGAATATAGCCGGGGCATCAACATGGTCTATCCATATAAATAGCTAAACGACTGAAAGGGATTTCCGTGACCTCTCCACTTTGTGTCACCGGATGTTTGTCGCTTGTGTGATGTCCTGGTGGGGTACAACTACACACCTACCTATGTTAATACCTCGTCTTCTTCTTCTTCTTCTTCTTCTCATCCTCATCCTCCTCTTCCTCTCCTCCTCCTCCTCCTCCTCCTCATATCCCTTAAGCAACTCACGCCACGCCGTTCTATCCTTCGCTTTTGCATGCAGCTTACCCTTGCCCCCCACCCCCCCCCCCCCCCACCCCCACCCTCATATCGTCTTTAACAGCTCTCTAGCTCTTTGTCTGCGGTTTTAGCTGGTCTTTATTTCTATATCCCTGTGGTTTTCAGTGCAAATACATTTTAATGATCACAAAAACAGCATTTTATTCTATAACTACCAAGTGCCATCATTTGTGTGATACAGTTGAATGAGATTTGTGGGATTTGCTCCTGTTCAATCACAGGCGAAAAGTGGCTCTCTGAGTCACATATGATCTTCTCTGGTGTAAAGTCTTGGTTGTTCGCCCACTTCTGGACTTTGGGCTTGTTCCAAAACTTGAGTTTTACGTGCGAATTCGTTCTACAGATCTGGCTTAGTTATATGTAGGCTGTTGGTCCCTAGACTCTCAAGCAGATGCATTCTCACTTGAAAGGAAACATCCCTTAATTAGTCGCCTTGTAAGACATGCTTGTAAAGAAGGAGCACTGGGCCTATTCCCATACCACTCACCCCCCCCTCCCCATCATCATCATCATGTAGCAGGCCCTTTGCAGAACGTCGCTCTCATCGCAGTCTGCCTGTAAGAAACTCGGTCTCTCGCCAGTTCTCCAGCCTCATGAACTTTCACATTCAAGGAATCACTTATATCCTGTGTCTTTCTTCGTGTCGGTCGGCCCCTGCCCCTCCATCCTGGTACCTTGCCGTCTGCTATCATTTTCTCCAATCCGTCGTGGCGCTTGATATGACCAAATTTTTTCAGCTTTCACTAAAAATAACCAGGAAGAGTAATAATGTTCTAATGACACGGGAAGTAAAGGCGACAAATACGATACTGACAACATCACCTATCGAGGAGTGCCTAACAGCCTAAACAAATATGAATCTAGCATCAGATGCCTGAAGAGCCCATTACGTAAAAAGAGCCTTTTGTTTACCCAGACGATATTTATGAACAATCAACTTACCCATGAAACTATGAATTGTGAACTCAGGTTCATGTCGTTCCGTCCACACTAACGGTGAATCAAAATACACTTGTACCTCCACCAAATTCTCCCTAAAATGTAGGAAATATTGAAATAGGGGTCAGTCTTCTGACTGTGCCCTATATGGTCTGGGATATATTTATTACAGAAACTGCTTTTAACAACTGTCAATAATTGTATATATTATTTTAGGAACTCTTCTTCGTCTGGAACAAGGGAGTATCTGTATCCCTATCTACAAGTAGGAGTAGGATTTTGGGTCACCTCTTGTACCTAATATTAACTTTGTCGCAGCAGAATAGTTCGTTTATCGACAAAATCTACCTTGTTGAAAATGGCATTGTGAAAAATTCCTAAACTATACATTAAAAAAAAAAAAAATTAACAGAAGTGGAATGTGAAAACAGAATAAATGAAATTGGAATTTGTTCTGTCCTGTTTTATCTGCAGACGTTTTAAACTGTGACGTAGATCCCCAAACCTGCCTCACAGTGTCCGGCCACGGAGAACGAGTCGTACCAAGCCGTCGAAGCTACAAGTAGCAAGTCGAGTCGCTGGACAAAACGCCAAGTCCAGTCGGAAGTCATTAATTGTGTGACTTAAGTTGGACTTGAGCCCAAGTTGCACGACTCGAGTCCCTGTCAAATCACACTCTAAACACATGAGCACATTCAGCAGAACTGCCCCCACAGCAAAATCTGGTAGTAGTAGAATGGGAATAGAATGTAGGATAGTAGTAGAATGGGTGGTAGAATGTAGTAGTAGTAGAATGGGCAGTAGAATGTAGTAGTAGTAGTAGAATGGTGAGTAGAATGTAGTAGTAGTAGAATGGGTGGTAGAATGTAGTAGTAGTAGAATGGGTGGTAGAATGTAGTAGTAGTAGAATGGGTGGTAGAATGTAGTAGTAGTAGAATGGGTGGTAGAATGTAGTAGTAGTAGAATGGGTGGTAGAATGTAGTAGTAGTAGAATGGGTGGTAGAATGTAGTAGTAGTAGAATGGGTGGTAGAATGTAGTAGTAGTAGAATGGGTGGTAGAATGTAGTAGTAGTAGAATGGGTAGCAGAATGTAGTAGTAGTAGAATGGGTGGCAGAATGTAGTAGTAGTAGAATGGGTGGCAGAATGTAGTAGTAGTAGAATGGGTGGTAGAATGTAGTAGTAGTAGAATGGGTGGTAGAATGTAGTAGTAGTAGAATGGGTGGTAGAATGTAGTAGTAGTAGTAGAATGGGTGGTAGAATGTAGTAGTAGTAGAATGGGTGGTAGAATGTAGTAGTAGTAGAATGGGTGGTAGAATGTAGTAGTAGTAGAATGGGTGGTAGAATGTAGTAGTAGTAGAATGGGTGGTAGAATGTAGTAGTAGTAGAATGTAGTAGTAGTAGAATGGGTGGTAGAATGTAGTAGTAGTAGAATGGGTGGTAGAATGTAGTAGTAGTAGAATGGGTGGTAGAATGTAGTAGTAGTAGAATGGGTGGTAGAATGTAGTAGTTGTTGAATTGGAGTTTTTCGATGCTTAAATTTAAGGCAAATCATTATATGGATATGTTCTTAGGCATTGTAGGCAGTTATTCGGGCTTAAAATGTACGTAGAATAAGGCTGATTCTGTTGCTAAGGTGCACTCAATAATGCAAGCATAGACTGTTGGGCTTTATCGTTACACGATAGACACAACACGTCTGAATACTGCAGACATATCCTGGATGACATTATACCAGTTGTACGTCATATATCTTCTTTTCTTCTCTATCCTGCTTCTGCCTTCTAGCGTCAGATTTTGATGAGACGCCGGGCGTAAGCCTTGAACTGTGCTACGTAGATACTGGTATTTATGGCTTCAGATACTGCATCTGTCCCTAATTTGTGTGATCAACGTCTAGGTCTGTTTCCATTATGTCTAGTTGACTGGACTCTCTGTGGTGCACTATCTGGTGGTAGTCCCGACACATGTCCAAACCATTTGAACTGCTGTCTCTTGATGTAGTCTAGCACTGGTTCCGTGAAAACTTCTGTCCTTATATTGTTTGTTTTTTAAATCCTTTCTCTTTTAATTAAAGTTAGAAATCTTATATTCACTACAGAAAAAAAGCTGTATTTAAAGAAACCGATTGGCCACACATAATTTACAGTTGCTTACGTCATGTCATTCGGGTCGGTGATGTTGAAGAGTTTCATGATGGCGTCTCGGGTAACGCGGGATGGAAACTGTGATGAGGACAGGGTCGTATCATAATGGACGAACCTGCACGGTCTCGGACAGTCACACAGGCTGGACACTTCCATCTGTATACGTTCTACAAACATGGAAGTACAGTTATTTTACCGACACAAAGAAAACATTGGGTTGAGAAAAAAAAAAAAAAAGGAGGAGGAGAGGAAGGCTACATGTCACCTAAGCCAAGTTTAAGTGTGTAATATTATGTTTTTGTGTGTGTATATATATATATATGTGTGTGTGTATGGTGTCTGTGAATATATATATATATATATATATATATATATATATATATATATATATATATATATATATGTGTGTGTGTGTGTGTGTGTGATGTCTGTGAATGTGTATATATATGTGTGTGTGTGTATTTATATACATATATACATATATATATATATACACACACACATACAGTGATAAGTAAATATAAAAACCGAACAAATATCAAATGCATTCAAATATTACCGAAAAAAGAGAGCTTCTGTGTATAGTTTGTAGAGCAACTCCGGCCAACGCCCCCCCCCCTCTAAACACAAAATTAGGAGGGCGGGCACAGCCCTCTCAGAGCTCCAATTCACACGGTGAAACCTAATTTAATTGTTGTGACTTCCAGTTAGACATGTTTCTTTACTCCTGTATCTAGCTTCCTCAGTCAGACATGAGCCAAACATATTTTTGTCATCCCTTTCTGAGATGCAATTTTTCGTTATTTGAAGCCCTACTCTGGCTCTTGCCAGGGGCCGCTAAATAGTCCGGCGATAAATAAGGCGTTGCAAGTCCGACTCGTAAGCCAGCACACCGCGATCGAAACCCACTTCAGGCTGCGTGGATTTTTGTCGTGGTATGGGACGTCGCAGGTCGACCCAGCCTAAATGGGTACCAGGATGGGCTGTCCTAGGAAAGTAAAGACAGCCGGCGTAATGCTGACCACATTACCCACAGAGTGCTGATGGTCTTTAAAAATATGGGACGCTCTGCCCATATGCCCGATGCGCCGAAAGGCGTGAAAAGGGAACTTTACTTTTTACTTTAATGGCTGAACGCGGTTTCCGGGACTTCTTCACGGGTGATCCACATCCGCATGGTGGCACTTTGTGTCATCGGGTGTTTATCGCTTGTGTAATGTCATGGTGGGGTAAAAGAAGAAAGATAGATAGACAGGGACCATGTGTAATCAGACAACAGCTCCTTTAACTTCAGTTACAGTAAATTGAACTCTAATTGAGATAGTAGTTATCGCCGTCTTCCTCATTTTGTCTATAGTTAGGAACAATAATACATGTAACAAAAGCCAATTTCTGAATCCCTGTTACAGTCTTTTAAAAAAAAGCATATATGTTACTGTGTTCTCTCTCTCTCTCTCTCTCTCTCTCTCTCTCTCTCTCTCTCTCTCTCTCTCTCTCTCTCTCTCTCTCATAAATAACTATGCAGATGTCAATTACCTTCATTATTTTAGCTCGTTAAGCACCACCTTGTGATATAGCGGCTAGATGATTGTCTTCGGGTCCGAAGGTCGTCGGTTCAAATCTGAACTGAGCTGAATTTCTTTTTTTTTTCGAAAATGACACCGGCTCCCAGGCCGACCCAGCCCTAAATGGGTACCAGGTAAAGAAGTGGGAAGTAAAGGCAGCCGGTGTGATGTTGACCACATCACCCACCGAGTGATGATCGGTCTATAAAATATAGATCTATCCCTATATGCCCAATAAGACCGAAAGAGTGGAATTGAATTGAAAGGATTGTATCAGTACCAAGTGGTTGTTTCTATGCCGCTTCTTATCCTAAAGAATATCCGATATAAAGTAACTTTCTCTCGCTCTGGTGAGGTTAAAATAATACAATTACGCTACAGAATTAGTCAAAGCAAGAGATGAAATATAGTGGGTTGAGCAACAGAAAAAATTGGGCAGAATCAGTTCGGCACTGTAATCCATGTGTAGAACAAATTGGTTTTTGTTTTGTTTTTTTTAACATAATGCCATGTATGGGAAGAGATAATGGCCATCGATTGATCTTATAGTGCTACTCTGATTTCCAAAGACAGACCCTGTCAATGTTGCCAAATAAGTCTTCAGTGTCCATAAACTTCCCAAACTAGCAATTTTCAAACTGATGCTTTATTCTACCAGGTGTATCTTGGCTTTTTGATCAGCGTCAGATATGTTTTGTAGGAACTCTGCCTGTTCATTTCTTGCTTGTTGTAACATTGGCACCTCGTAACTTGTCCAGGATTACCCTGCTTGACATTTCCTAGGCTTTAGATAATGTTTACTCTCCAAAAGATATTGTGTCTTTTTGTCATTTTTCTCTCTACGAATTTTTTTTTCAAACTCTAATGTTTGTGAGAAATTTTAAATCACTATCTTTGTTCTGTCACCATGTGGGCATCCAAGATGCAGTCAACAAAATCCCCTTAGTGATGGAGGCCAAAGTTCGAGAAATTATCCTTGAGAATTTGACTGATGAAGGTACAGTTATTTACACCGATCAACCCCTCCTGCGACAGGGGCAAAGCTTATAAGATTTCACGTTTCTGGTTGGAGAGAAAACTATAAAGGAAGATACCGGTGCTTTTGCTTTCACTACAAGTAGTCTGACTTTGGAGGTGATGGCAGTGCCAAAGGGATTACCTGGGTTGAGGTGCAGATTTGTCCTATGCGTTCTTTCTGATTCCATGAGCATGATTAAACAGATCGAGACATGATGGGATCGAAGACTAAGGTTACCGTCTCTGAGGAAATCTCGGTGACGTGAATGAGTTTCATTTTTTTTGCCAGGACACTCTGGGTTATGATGGAATGAACGAGCAGATTGGGTCGCTGGCAACATACAAATTTCTGTCACCAAAACAACAACAAAACTGCCTTTACTTTACCATTTTTGCAGTGTAGGCAGGAATGGGGTCTTTGAGCCTGAGAATTTACGGTCCGCATGGCTAGTGCTGTTGCCACGACTGTGCAGGTAAGGATATTATTTTGCTCCCAGACAGAAAAAAATAAATCACTAGCTTTACCGAGGATTTGAACCCCGTGTCTCCAGGTTGAGAGCTCAGACTTCTAGCAGTTCGGCCAGCCGCTTCTCACTTCCGTTACCTAAATGAGCAATTTATTCCGGACTGCTTCCCTTTGCTAGCTCCTTTTTTTTTTTTTTTTTTACTTATAAATATCAGTACCATATAAAACTAAAACAAGATTCTATTATTGCTACAACTGTCTATAGCTTTTCGTATATGACTTGTTATTGGTTTTTTTTTTCTCCAGCTTCTGATTGGCATCAACATAAAAGAAACTGTTTACTAACTTGAAGCCTGTGAGTAACATCCATACATGTATTCATACATTGTGCACATCTTCAGTCCTGGGATCACTGAGAGAGAGAGAAAAAAAAACAATAATAATTATTATCGGAACTGATCACATTCCAACTATAATGCGAATGCATTTCTATAGGCTGATGCCGAGGCCCGTCGAAACAGAGAAACCAGCTAAACTTCCAGAATTCACTCTCCCCCCCCCCCCCCCCCCCCTGTCCCCTAGGCCAAAAAAAAAAGGGGGGGGCGCGGTGTTTCCAAGGGACATAATCCTAGGTTAAGAGCACAATAGTGATACTGCGCCCAATGATAAATGAGTGAGTGGAATTGAACCCCACTAAGACCGCATACTTAGCGATTAATCTGGTATCCCTTGACAAACACCCCCCCCCCCCCCCCCCCCGGCCCGCCCGTTTGTTTTTATCTCCTCAGTTGTAACCAGCTCGTGTGAGAGCCTCCTGTACGTCAATGCTGACCACGTTTCTCCCGGTGCAATAAATTTTCCTCTCTGCGTTTTTTTTTCTTTTTAATAAGTTGGTTCTTCGATACAATGTATAACTCTCTGCTCATTTGGAATTTGGAAACACCACGTTTACCTGTTGTAACGCTGTTTGTTGATTCTGTTGCTGTAGCAGTGAATTCTGTTGCTCTAGCAGTAGATTCTGTTGCTGAAACCGTGGATTCTGTTGCTGTAGCTGTTGATTGATGGTGGTGATTGTAGTAGTATCGGTGGGCACACACACATACACACATACACACACACGCACAGTATTTTTAAACGGAGGGAAATAAGATATTGAATGTTAACAAGGGTACACATTACCTAACTCTGGGATGAAGCAGCCACACTCCACGCTTGCCCTGTACACCACACACTGACTCTGGCATTTTTCAAAACTGTAGAACGTTGAATTCACCATTTTGGGAAGCAGCCTGGGGCTGTCGGGATCAGCATCGGTGCAATACTCCGATCCGAAAGACTTGTAGGGGTGTGGTAAAAACGAGATCTGGCAAGAAACAGAACAGCCAGTGTCAATGGTTATTATTTTGTAAACCCGAAAACATGGGCCTAGAAACTGTGTTTTGAGCTACCCATACAATTTATTTGTTACGTTCGCATAATAATACAGCGTGTGGTGGTGGTAGTGGGGGTGGTGGTGGTTAGGATGGATGGTGGTGGTAGTGGTTGTGGTGGTAGGGGTTAGGAAGGTGGTGGTGGTTAGGATAGTGGTGGTGGTAGTGGTGGTGGTGGTAGTGGTTATGAAGGTGGTGGTGGTTAGGGTGGTGGTGGTGGTATTTGTTGTGGGGTGGTGGTGGTGGTTAGGGTGGTGGTGGTGGTAGTAGTAGTGGTAGTGGTTGTGGGGGTGGTGGTGGTAGTGGTGGGGAAGGTGGTGGTGGTGGTAGTGGTTGTGGTGGTGGTGGGGAAGGTGGTGGTGGTGGTGGTTAGGATGGTGGTGGTGGGGAAGGTGGTGGTGGTTAGGGTGGTGGTAGTGGTTTTGGTGGTGGTGGGGAAGGTGGTGGTGGTTAGGATGGTGGTGGTGGTAGAGGTAGTGGTTGTGGTGGTGGTAGTGGTGGTGGTAGTGGTGGGGAAGGTGGTGGTGGTTAGGATGGTGGTGGTGGTGGTGGTAGTGGTTGTGGTGGTGGTAGTGGTGGGGAAGGTGGTCGTGGTGGTTAGGATGGTGGTTGTGGTGGTAGTGGTTGTGGCGGTGGTAGTGGTGGTGGTGGTGGTTAGGATGCTGGTGGTGGTAGTGGTTGTGGTGGTGGTAGTAGTGGGGAAGGTGGTGGTGGTTAGGATGGTGGTGGTGGTGGTAGTGGTTGTGGGGGTGGCGGTGGTGGGGAAGGTGGTGGTGGGGGTGGTGATGGGAATGGTGGTGGTGGTGGTGGTGGTGGTAGTTATATTCAATGAATGTCCTTTCTTAGCACTCTCCATCCCCACAATATCCAGCAGTTGTTGTAAATGAGTTGCATTGTCAGCTATCAGAACTGTATCGTCTGCATAACGCAAATTGTTTATATTGTATCCCTCAACTCTTACTCCTGCATTCTCTTTAATTTCCCTAAAAATTATTTCACTATATAGAGAGAAAAAGTCTGGGGATAAAACAGATCCTTGTCTTACTCCCTGTTTTATTTGTTCAAATGTAGCCAATCTGTTTCCCACTTTCATTGCTGCTACTTGGTTCCAGTAAATGTTTTTAATTATTTTTTTATCTTTCCCGTCTTCATTGATGTCTTCCAACATTTTTATCATTTCTTCATGTTTAACTTTGTCAAATGCTGTGGTATAATCTATAAAGCACAAATATCATTCCTTTTGTATGTCCATTGATCTTTCTGTCAGTGTTTGTAATATGTATGTTGTATTACTTGTCCCTTTACCTTCCATAAACCCATACTGCTTTTCACTCATTTTCATTTTTTTTTTTGGTGGTTCTTTTCATTATAATTGTAAGTAGTAATTTAGTGGCATGATTTATTAAGTTGATTGTTCGAAATTCTTCACACTTAATTGCTCCTGGTCTTTTGGGTAACGCAATAAATACAGATTTCATCATATCACTTGGCATGTACCCAGTGTTATAAATGTCATTCAACAGTTTAGTTAATATTTCTACCCCAAATTTCCTCAGTAGTTCTAATTCTTCTACTGAAATTTCATCTGGCCCAGTCGACTTTCCTTTCTTCATATGTTTAATAGCATTCCTAACTTGCTCCTTTAGTATAGACGGACCTTAAAGATTTCTTTCTTCTGGTAATTCTGCTCTCTTTCCAATATATAACTCTCTTATGTATTCATTACATCTAGTTATTTTCCTCCATTAAGATCTCTCCTGCTTTTGATTTCCATCATCCTGTGTTTACTCGTATCTTTCTTCTAGTTAGACCGTTAAATTGTTTATGCACACTTTTTGCATCTTTAACAGGACTGTGTTCAATTTTATTGCATTGTTCTTTTAGCCACTCTTGTTTGTTTGTTTTTTTTTTTTTTTTTTTTTTTTTGCTAGTATACACTTATGCCTTATTTCTTTTTTTTTTTATCTTGTCATATTCTTCTTTGTCATTTATCCGCTGCTTTCTGTCACCCATTAACTTTAAAATTTCTTGGTTCATCCATTTCTGTTTAGCTATTTGTCTTCTTTCTGGTAAAATCTCTTTGCGTGTTTGATGGATATGCTCTCTTAGAATATCCCACTGATCATTTATTGTTTGTGTTTGGGTATTTCATTATACCTGTTCAGGCTGACTGGTACAAGACATTCATAAAAATTTAAAAAAATTGTAAGCCTCCTTCCGAAAAAAAAAAAAAACCACTCAAATTATGTAACAATTATCGCACTATAACTCTAATTAGTCATGCCATCAAAATCCTGCCTATCATCTTCAGGGGAATCGAGAATAAATTGGAATATGAAAAACAAGAAGAACAAGCGGGTTTTTGACGGGACAGATGAAGAAGATACCAAGTTTTCAATACGAGAATCATTTTAGAGAAGTGTCTAGAATACACGATAGATCTTCAAACTTGTGTTATAGACTACACCATAAACTGTGGCATATAATGAGAGGAAATTGGATTTCCAAAACATTTGGTGCACTTAATGGAATCTCTTTACAATGAACAACAAGCAGCAGTCAGAGTAGCTGGTGAAACATCAAAATGGTTTGAAATGCAAAAAGAGGTCAGGGAGGGCGGCTGCATTCTTTCTCCGTCCCTTTTTAACACCTACATTGGTAAAGGTTAGAAAGCAATGGCAAACTACTGGATGCAATTTGCCTAGAGAAACCACACAACAGCCAGGGGCTGTTGGCGTTGGTTCTGCAACGTCCTGTAAAGGATACGCAACTAACTCAAAATTGGTAATGGTTACGTTTAGTAAAGGTTACGTTTGGTATAGCTTATGTTTGGTATAGCTTACGTTTGGCATAGGTAACGTTTGTTATAGGTTACGTTTGGTGTAGGTTACGTTTGGTATAGGTTACGTTTGTTATAGGTTAAGTTTGGTAAAGCTCACGTTTAATAAAGCTTACGTATGGTACACCCTAAAGTTGGTATAGGTTAGTTTGGTATACGTTGAGTTTGGTGTAGACTACGTTCGGTATAAATTACGTTTGGTATAGGTTACGTTTGGTATAGGTAACGTTTGGCATAGGTTACGTTCGGTATAGGTTACGTTTAGTATAGCTCACGTTTAGTATAGCTTACATGTGGTATACCCTAAAGTTAATATAGGTTACGTTTGGTATACGTTAAGTTTGGTATAAGTTACGTTTGGTATACATTACCTTTGGTATACATTACGTTTGGTATACGATAAGTTTGTTATACGTCAAGTTTGGTAAATGTTTAGTTTGATATACGTTAAGTTGGCTATAGGTTACCTTTGGTATACGTTAAGTTTGGTTTAGCTTACGTCTGGTATAATTATGTTTGGTGTATGTTACGTTAGGAATAGGCTCGGTTTGGTGTAGGTTACGTTTGGTATACATTACGTTTGGTATACGTTCAAGGCTTTGCGACGGATTAAGGAGGTATATCGCAGTACCAGTGTATGAACATAGGAGGTGTTACCTTGTGTGGCTTGACTGAAATCCTGGTTGACGTGCCGGGCGTGATCACAATTCCGTGGGAGTCGACCAGGGCAACGTCTTTGGACTGAGAGATGTGCACCTGGGAAATGAGATAAATACATGAACGCTTTTACACCAGATCTGTTTATCAGTATGTCTCGATTTGTTTATTTTTCTGTCTCTGTACATTTAATTTTATCTATCTATGCGTCTGTATACCTATCTCTGTTTGTTTCTTTCGTTTACTTTCTCTCTCTCTCTCTCTCTCTCTCTCTCTCTCTCTCTCTCTCTCTCTCTCTCTCTCTCTCACACACACACACACACGTTAAATAGAGGCTTATCTGTATATCCTCATATATGTATATTTGACTTTCCTGTCTTGCCCTTTATGTTTCTCTGGTTCTGTACCGTCTCTCCCCCTTGTTTTATGTCTTTCATTCTCCTTCTGTCAGCATCTTTCCTTTTTCTCGGTCGTCTCTCCTATTCATTCTTTATCTCTCTCCACAATGACACATATAGGTGTATGTGTATATATATATATGAGTGTGTGTATGTTTGCACCTTGCCGTCATTTTAGACAATACTGTTATACAAAGATATGGGGAGGCATGAGAATCACCGCCTATGGCGATGACAAGTGTCACAAGCAAGACTCGCCCTCGTTAAGAAAAGATCTGGTCATAGCACAAAGCTGGTAGAGACCATGCCCTGCAATGAATCACGACCCATCTTTTAGCCTGTCTTGTTTTCTCTAAAGGAAAAGTAGCACTAACATGTTCAGAACAAAGCACGCTGCAAAAACCGCGGGATTAGAAGAGCAGTGCTCTGCATGTCCACTCCTTGACCAGCTGTCTACCAAGGAGAAGGGTCCGGTCTGCCCTATATATTTTTGCGGCGTCCGTGGCTTGGGCGTTGCGAGTCCGGCTCGTAATTCCAACGTACTGCGATCGAAACCTACTGCTAGCTGTGTGGATTTGTATCATGGTATGCGGCGTCGCAGGTCGTCCTAGTCTAAAATGGGTACCAGGATTACTGTCCTGGGCAAGTAAAGACGGCCGGCGTAATGCTGACCACATTACCCACCAAGTGCCGATTAGTCTGTCAAAATATAGGGTGCTCTTCCTATATGCCCGATGCTCCTAAAGGTGTGAAAAGCTATCTTTAGTTTATATTATATATATCTACACACACACACGCACAAATATATATATGTAAAGAGACCTAGGCATGTGTTTGAATTGTGTTTGTTGTTTACCATCAAAGTAAACGGCGCCCCTAAATTGTTCATGCCGTACAAAAAGTCAGCGAAAGGGTTTTACAGCAATGAAACAAATACAAAAACAACACAAAAAGACAACCTGCAGCACAGCATTTGAAACAAAAGGCAGAACTTGTTTCAGAACTCTATTCGTTTAGTGGTGCTGCTATTGTCACACACACACACGCACGCACGCACACATACACACACGCACATGCGCGCGCACACACACACACACACACACACGCACACACACGCACACACACAGAGTATTGTCTGCAATACCTACTCTAAGACCAGCCGTGCCATCATCAACAATCCCATAATTCTCTTGTCGGATGTTGGCAACCACCCACAGTCCTGACTTGCTGCCATGTTTCTTGGACAGCCAGGCCTCGTTTCTGGAGATGACATGGTCTCCATCAAACTGCCGACAGCGACCGTACTGAGTGTCCAGTGTCTGTCATCAGATTATGGAAGATATTAGACAATAATGTGGCCGGTTTTTTAACCACTCCACCCACCCACCCCCCCCCCGACCCCCGACCCCCTTCCGCCCCCCAAAAAATTATACATGCTTTTTAGATCGTCACAAGCCAGTCCAATCGTCTGTTGACTTGCTGTGGTTTATTAGTCAATTTTACGTTCAAATCGCCTGAAGTTGACTTCGAGCCCGTTAGAATTATGAAACTGTGTTCTTATCTCGCAGACCCACAAACGCTGACACTCACAACAACACAGCTTTTATTTTAATGACCGACAATAGGTCTACTTCTTCTTCGATCCTTCTGTCCGAAAACTTCTATCAGGAGGCCGGTAGCCTTTATGAAAGCTATCGTGCAGTTTCATATCCTCTCGTGTACAGTTGACAGTGTGGTTGGAGCAGGCCATTGCGCTCATCAGCATTTTCGGTGTTGCCACGCTCAGCAGTCACACGCTGCAGTCACACCTCTCCGTATTTCCTACACCGAAAAATGTGAACATATGTTGACGAAATCTGTTGTGCCCAGTCCTTAGTCTGAATATAATACACTGTCCCTCTCTAGAGCGGCGATGAAGTGAGTCTTGGGGAGAAAATCTGGTGTGGGGTATCCAGCCACCTTTCTTGGATACTAGATTGTATTAATGTTTTTGTCTCTTGGTGGGTTAAGTCGCTATTTGGTTGTACCATGCCACTGCAGATGTGACAATGATTATCACTGTATGGCTTAGAATGAGACGTGAAAGAAGTGATTACTGGGTGACCAGTTTGTCGTGAAGCTGGGACCGTGTAATGAGGGATATTTTCACCCAGATTAGGAAGGTTTGGGGGAAAGCCCAAGGTTAACCAAAATACCAAGATATTCCAGATACTCGGATTAAACGAGGTTTTCAAGATAGGTGATGACCACGAGTTATCACGTGTAACACAATGATAGCGACCACAGGTCGCCACGTGGAAGTAAAGGACCATCACGTGTTGCCACGTGAAACTAACCCGTAGTAAGATCAGACCCTGGTTTGATCAAGTTAGTATGTGTTGAAATGTCGGAGCGAAAGGACGGGAGATTGATTGTAAGAATGCCAACGTGAGATTGCTTGATGTGAACGGAAAACCAGACGACGAAGTTTGAACCCAAGACCAACCAGGCCAGTCTGTATAATGTCAAGTAGATGAACCAGCTACATTTGTGCAAACTGTGGTCAGTGACTGTGTGAGAAACCAGTATGTTGAAGTCTGCGTGATGTGGTGTGTGAAAGCTGTTTCTTAGGACAACGACTGGACGTGATGTAAGCTCTGAGATGTCAATTAAACTGATGTTCCGTACGGCTAAATCAGTGTCGGCTTGTCCCAGTTATGTCAACGTAGAATGTGTGCTAAGAGCATTCACTACACATATCATCTTCTAGACAACGAGTGAATACAACCCACTTATTGCAAGCAGAGTTAGTACAAACACAGCAGCTCATTACACAAGACAGCTCATTGCAGACCGGACTGATAGCATTAAAATTCTGATTAATTCTTGCAGGTTGCATATAGCTGGTAATAACTGTGTACTATAAACAAGCGCAGTCAATGTAATAGCCTAGTGTTTCATAAGTATATATTAAACAAGCATAGATCAAATATCAGACATACACACTGAGGATATCAGTACTTTCTCTACAATTGCCCATGTCATGTGGTCTGGAGAAACGGTGATGGTTTCCAATTCCAATTTCTTTTAGAGAAAAAAGAAAAAAAAACTCAATCACGTTCAACCTGCTGCTAGCAAGCCGAAGCTGCCAACAGTCTCCGGCAATATTTGTGGTCTTGTTTATTTGCGCCACTTTCGTGGCTAAAGTTCTGGTATTTGCGCCGTCTCTTTGTCTAATGCTTCTTTCCTCCATGTCAGACCGCCATCATTTATTGTTTTAAAATTCTAAGTATTTTACTTTGCCGAAAAGTACTGAAAACAGTTTTTAGGCTTGGATAGACTTGAAATGTGACAATATTCCGCGTGTGACCATAGTGGTCTTATAGTTGTCTTTCTGCAATAGGAACGCGTTAATCATATTATGGAGATATGTGTGAAATGTTAGATTGAGTCTCACAATGATTCTATCCGACCTTTGTTATAGTGTGGTCCGATTGTGTCGGTTCTGGATGGTAGCTAGGCTCCGATGTACGTAAATACAAGATCACTGGAATACGCATCACGTCACCAGCCTTTATCATCGTACTATTAGGGGGTTGGGGGGAGGAGGGGTTGGTGGTTAGATGCTCTGGTCCTGTCAGTATTGATACGGTGATGGAGGGTACAGATGGCAGGGAACGAGTAGAAGCCGACCGCGAAGGTAGATACAAGACTGAAGATGCACTGTCTATGGAAAGCACATCGTCCTAGAGAATTGGCTAGAGGCAGGCAGACTTTCGGGCACGCCGTGAGGAGAGCAACGTTCTGTAAAGGTGACTATTGATGATGATTTCCCCTGCCGTGTGCCGCTAGTCATCGTGTCTGTCCACCATTTCTTTTGCGGAATCATTCTGGGTCTAGTTTGTATACAGCGAATAATTACAGGAAAGAGTGGCGTGAAGAAATATGATAGAGCAACTCGTAGAGTGTGTTTCATTTTACTTACTGCAATACTCATTTATTTCATTGATACTCATAGATGAAATTATTCGGCAACTAAATGAGAATGACTGCGATGAGGTCAGTGAAAGCGTACACCTTGAAACTAAAAACATCAAGAACTAGTAGCAGATGGACTAGAGAAGTCACTGAAAGCCTAAAACTTTACAACGTTACAACATACCAAATAGCCGAGCGCTCCATAGCTAAGCTACCTATCGTCTGTTTAACTGCGAAAAAGCCGAAATTTACAAGAGACGAAGAAGAAGACAGACAGATATGACTGGTTGGTTCCACTTTGTTAAATGCTTCTTGTTTTCATAGTCCTTCTTATTCTTTTTTTTTTCTTTTCTCAGGCAGATGTACTCTATTTGTGAAGGAAACACACTGAAATAGCACAAACAGTCACAATACATAACCCAGCCACACGGTACTACGAGCTAAGTGGTAAACGTTGTCTGGTGCCCCAATGTAACTGCTGTAAGACTTGAATGTTTAATGTTGAATTGAGAATCGACATCACAGCACTCGGGACACTCCCATAAGTGTTTAGTCCCCATCTTCAGCAGCAAGTGAAGAGTTCCAATTCCGATGGTACCAGTAACCGTCTGATTGTATATCAGCATCATCCTTTCCCTGAGTGTTGAGCGTAGGCCAGATACCCTGGTAACTCCTCACAGCCCTATTCTTTTTAGACCGTAATGATCTATCTGCGCCTCCACACGGTTTACTCTCTCCCAAAGGACCCCACAATATCTAACTCTTCATACATCAATTCACCTCCAAGTGGTGCAGAGTCAGCCAATCTGTCTGACAGCTCATTTCTCAACACAACGGCATACCGTGAAGAAAATATCCAAAGGATGCTAACTACCCGGAATCTATGAAGTGATGCTTGCCACTCTGCACGGAGTATGCCTGTCTAAAAATTTCTCAACATGCTCTGTGAGTCAGTTACAATTAGGGCATGTGTGTACAACTTAATATTAAAATGCATAAGTATTGATTATTGATTTATTGATTATTAATACAAGCAGAGGAAGAAGGTACAAACTTGAAGACCCGCTAATGAAAACAATATGGCTGAGTGGCGTGACATGGTCAGATAAAGCAGTGGCGGAAAAATAAAATAAATTTGGGTGGCGAACATAATGACAAGTGAAAGAAGTCTTTCACACAAGATAACAAACATACCATCATTGTCTTCAGCTCAACTTCTCTTCCATTATATATAGCCTGGTATATAAGCAAATCCTGGAAATACTCGGCAAAAACATCTTCAGTTGACCGCTGTAGAAAATTGCTAAAAGGTTGTCTAGAAACAAGAGACAAAATTACTGGTAATAAATTATCCTTGTACGTCTCATTATATTGTGTAATGATGCTATAAATAGGGATAACGTCAGGGTATGACTGGCATAATTGGGTAAGTCCCTGATTGCATGGGTTTCACTGAGATATGGTGAAAAGACAAGAGTGAGTAAGTCACGTGTGAATGCGAGATTCTCGGGGGGGGGGGGGGTGGAGGGGGTATTGAGAATGAGGTGGTCATTCGGTGACTGGGCCCCAGATTGGAAGGATGTGAAGCTGAATCTGTGAAGGTGAATCCAGAGTGAGAAGTGCACACGTGGATCTGAACCAGAGTCGAATGAATGTTAGTGCTGAACGACAAGACAGGCAGCGCTATTGAATGTTCGTTTAGGCCAGCAGTTGTGTTACACGGTATGTTGGTTGAACCAGTCGTGTACATGCCAGTGTCCATCGTCTGACGCATGGCTAGAGACTCACCGAATGGCGTAAGTTAGTTCATCTGTTGATTCGTGTCGCTGGTGTTACATTGACAATAAACCTGTGAAATGCGTCAGCTGTTGTTGACCGTCATTTAAAGTTGTGTGGCCGTGGAGAGAAGTGCCGTCTGGCTAGAATGAACTGTGACCTAACACCTAGACAACAGAGTCAGTGTTGAATCTGCATGAGAGAGTGGGAGTGTGGAGGAGACACATTACATATTGTATCCTGTACTTGCGTGAGCTGCTTTCATTTTGTCCTAAACTCACTTGGCTTTGAACATTTATGATCTTTGAGAACAGGTCTCTGTGTTTGTTTTATTAGAGCTACCAGATGTGAGACAGAAATAATAAAGATAATAAGAATTGTTTAAACATCGTTAATTTCATTATTATGACACAGCTTCTAAGACCTACGTATCTGACTTATGACTCAAAATTAGGATTTATCAAGTGTTAGTTTACTTCTAATAATAGTCAGGTGTGGAAACATGGACAATGGATGAACAATGTGACGGCAGAAACATGGACA